TTTTTTAGGGTTGTTTTGAATTTAAAACAAAAGGGTAAAATCTAAATGGGTCTACAATACAATTCCTAGAAATCCAACTTGAAAAATTATGTTAAAAATGGAAAATAAAAACTGAAATAAATTTAATTGAGAGTTATCCTCCGTCTGTTCCATTTTATGTGACACTTTTTATTTTTCGAGAATCAAATAGTTTAAGTTTGACCGAAAATTTGCGCATGGTATCTTCAATTTTTTAAAAATGGAATTTATATATTTGTAAACTACGTAAATATCAAAGTATTATAAGTCACAATAATTAATAATTCAAAATATTTTAAAGATCTATAAAAAATTTAATATCAAAGATTAACTAAAGAGAGAGTAAAAGGGGAGAATGGAAAGTAGAAAAAAAGGAAATAAAAACGAATATATAGAGAGAAACTGAGGAAAAAAGTCAGAAAAGTAATTCTTCATGTGGGTTGTTGTATATGTAGAAAGACACGTGTACAATTAATGAGGCACAATTAATTTTATAGTACAATTTGAAATGCTTTGTGTACAACTTGGTAGTGTCGTGTTCGTCCTCTAAAGTCTCACTTCTAATAAGGAGTAAAATGAGTAATAATAATAATTGCAATGTTAGTCCTTGTAATTGTCATTTATAAAAGTTAATGTACAATTCTTTTTGCACGTTGTACAACTAATTTAATGCAGTCAAAAGTTAATGTACAAAATTCTATGCATGTTGTACAAGTAATTTAATGCGGTGTTAGTCCTTCTAAGTCTCATCTCTAAATAAGAGTAATTAATATAGCTATAGTATACTTTATTTATTTTTTCTGGATATATTTAATTATTAAATAGCAAATAACACTTTACACGCATAAAAAAAATTCCCCACTTTTTCTCTTCAATAGTTCGTTCCACTTTCGCAGCGTTCATTCATTATCCCAAATCAAGTTCATCTCTTTGTAGTATCCTTACAATCAGTCTCTTCCCCTCTCAAATCCTTACAATCAACGATTTTTGCTTGATTTTCTAAGGTTATTTGTGGTTTAGATTCATCAGGTATCTTCTAATTCCCATTTTTTTCATTGAAGGTTTTATATAGATATACGTTTATGCTATATTTTTAGGGTTGAAGTTGAAGGTTGTTTTCAATATTACCATATCGGAAATCAATACTCCTAGGAGGGTCACAAGAGGTACACATTATTCCGATAATTGCTTGGAAGGAATACCCTCGTTTGATTTGCGTATAACTCAAATGCAATCACAAATTTCAGCCTCCATTGCTGCGATGGAGATAGAGAAGCAATCAAAGTTTCACAATAAACCTATAACGTTGAATTTGAATGATGAATTAGAAAGGATTGGTTGTTCTAAAAGGAAAGAAGGTTCAACTCTAACAGTGGATGAAACAAAAACTGACAAGAAGAGAAAAGTCAAAGATGTTTTTGGTAGTTTTTCTTCCTTCCCTTCTTCTTGTTCTTCATTAACTACATGTTTTCCCCTCCTACCAGAAACAACATCTTTAACTTTTCTCCTCTTGTTAGTTTTTGTTTCATCCATTCTTAGAGTTGAACCTTCTTTCCTCTTAGAAGAACCAGTCCTTTCTGATTCATCATTCAAATTTAACGTTATAGGTTTATTGTGAAACTTTTATTGCTTCTCTATCCTAAAATTTGTGATTGCATTTGAGTTATACACAAATCAAACGAGGGTATTCCTTCCAAGCAATTATCAGAATAATGTGTATCTCTTGTGACCCTCCTAGGAGTATTGGTTTCCGACATTGTAATATTGAATACCTTCAACTTCAACCCTAAGAATATAGCATAAAGGTATATCTATATAAAAACTTTAATGAAAAAAGAGAAAAAAAATGATAATTAAAAGATATCTGATGAATCTGAACCACAAATAATCTCCGAAAATCAAGCAAAAATCGTTGATTATAAGGATTTGAGGGGGAAGAGACTTTGATTGTAAGGATACTACGAAAAGATGAACTTGATTTGGGGATAATGGAGGTGATTTGGGGATAATGAATGAACGCTGTTAAAGTGGAACTAAGAAAGAAAAAATAGATTTTAAAATTATTAAAACAAAACCAAACTACTGTTCCTCCCTCGTGAATTATCCAAAGATTGTCGTCCGACGGTGATTAGGGTAGAATATTAAACTATATATACATGATTTGGGGATGTTAGGCTTAAGTTTATACTTAATTTATAAGTTAATTGCTTCGAATCTGTCGTACTCAAAAAATACTTTTTAAAAAATATACTTCTTAATTATTTTTTTATTTTATTCCTTTATTCGTTCGGTTTATATCAAAGTTATTTTTAAATGGTAAAAGGGGCAAAAATATGTTCAATTTTATTATTTAAAGTGAATATACTCCTTATTACAAAATGGTGTATATGCACCCTCATGTTTAATAGATAGATGGTGTATATATCTTGATAGGTTAAATTTTTAAAAAAATATTACCTAGAACTATTTTTTAAATTTCAAAAATATCACGTAACTTTACAGAATGATCTCACCCATTTTCTTTATTAGGATTCGGACCCAAACCCGTTTTATGAGTGAGTAGATGAGGAATTGAGGTTTTTTTTTTCATTTGGGGTTGGGTAAGATCCGGAGGGGTAAAAAAATGTGTGAAGTAATTTTTTAACGTTGCGTAAAATTTTTTAAAACAAAAATTTATTTCTATTCACTAAAATTAATTAATTTATTTGGTTAACTAACCTTCAAAGCTAACTGATAATCATAAAAATACTCTAATTTTTATCTGGCTATTCGAAGTATTGCCGGCCAACCCTATATTTCTAAAGGATCAGATACAAAAATAAAATAAAAAACATTAGCAAACTTCTTTATACTGACTAATCAAAAAAAAAATTACAATGTCTATCCCATGTATGAAAAGACGGGGTCGTTTGGTTTGTGAACTAATTGATTATAGTTTTAAAATTATAATCTCAAGACTAATTTATTCAATCAAATACAAAATAAATTTAACATCATTCTTATAAATCCTAGCCAACCAACTAAGATTCCCCACTCAATAATTATAAAACAGCCTAATACAAAATAACAATTCTAACAATCATGTCAAGATCACATAAACCCATACAGAAGAAGTTAAGCCAATCATGACCACATGACCATATTAGTACAATCTTACGAGTGCAATCTGATAAAAATATACGCAAACGTTAATCCTTATCCCTACTTTATGAAGGTATGCGGTAGATTTATAATTCATTTTTCTTGTAAATAATACTTGCAATCAGTGCTGGCAAGTTAGTAATTATCAACTATTCACAAAAGAAGTCTACTCAATAGTTGGGGAGGTTGTTGAATTAATTAAACATAAGATATATAAACTTATAATAACATATGAAGAGAGAGATCATTTTTTGCATAAAACTTATTAGCTCCTTATACTTTCTCCTGGTATTAATTTAACTTGGTAACTTTTTTTGCCTCACTTTTATTTGACATGATCGTATGATTGAGATTTAATGTGAGGATTATTTTAACCTTAATAAAAAAAGCACTTTCTTACCAAATATATCGCTATACCAACTAATTTATCAATATGATAAAAATATACACTACATACACATTATATGGATATGTACGTTATAAGTATACTACATGTATGTTTGATGTAAAATATACACAATATATACATTTTTTATATATATTTTATAAATTAGATGACTAAATAATTCAGGTCCCTAACTTTCCCATAATGAAAAATGAGCAGGGGGTGGTGGTAGGGGTGGGGTGGGGGGAAGAAACAAGTTTGACTTTAACTTTTTCACTGTTATGTATGAATATTGACAAGTTGACATTTATTACTAGTGATGTTAGGGGTCCCTACCATGTTAACTAAAAGCTAAATCTATTAAGGACTTTTCTTTTTCTTCAATCACGTAAGATGCATGCTTCCTTCAAATAAATTGAGTAGAAAAAATGGAACAAAATAGAAATAAAATACAATAAATACAGGAAAAGGACAAGTGCGTTTGTTTTTCAACTATACTAGATTTCTGCAGTACCATATTAAATAGATTAGGTTCCTATATATCAACCAGTAACAGTACACAAACAAACAATCAACGTTTAAAGAAGAAAACGTAAGCTGTGGCAAATATATATATATATATAAAATATACTATTACAACGTTGAAATCAAGATGCATAAGCAAGTAGATTAACCATAGCCTACCAGTCAATAAACCAGATGCTAACTATGAAAAATCAAGGATTAAATTCCAATCCAAAAAAATTTAGGTGATTTATGTATTGATGGAAGGAAGGTAACAATCGCGAAGTCAATAATTTCATCAAGATATATGTAGTTTGAGACCGTTAAACCAAACATCAAACAAAAATTGCAATATATTTCATTCAAACCAACTTCAAACATGGACTATGCCAACTAAATAATTGTCTGAAGTGTTTTAAGACTGTTAGGTCAAACATATACTATATGTGTCTGAAATATGTGCAAATATACTTGCACACTTCGGTCATATGTGAATGAAGTTTAGTCATACCAACAAACATTCAACTACGAGTATGTCTAAAATTGTTCTCGAAATGGATAAACTTGCAAAAAAAAGTCTCCTATGACTTAAATAGTGGTCCCAAAATCGGATATTCGTACACTTCAGCACAGGCTGTGTGTAAACTAACGTTAAGAAAGAAAATATTAAATTCAATTAAAGGCCATTGCTCCAAGAAAATAAATTAGAGTAAATCCAGAAAAATTGCGTCTTGCCATTCGTCATCAATCATCAATTGCCTAAATAAATTCAAAGGTCCTCTTTATAGGATGTTTAATTTGTTAGTATTTAATTCCTTCTTGTTTGTTTACAAGGATAACTTTTCTATAAATAATAAATTTCTACAACTAACCTACATTATTAGGGATTAAACAAATACCTATAGCCTGCAAGATACTTCTTGTTTAATTTAGAGTATAAAACCAAGATCTAATTATACTTATTTATTCTTGTCTAAGCTGTTAAGATCTTAATACAAGCTAATAAAACTAGATAATTATCAGACATAATCCTAATTCTGATCAACCATGGACAGTCTTTATTTGTATTTCCCAGTTCTCTTCTTTGTTCTTTACATCATCAGCTATCATTTTCTTCACAAGCTACAAAATCTTCCCCCTAGCCCATTTCCAGTACTCCCTTTTATTGGCCATCTCTACTTATTGGGTAAACCTTTCCATAGAGCTTTATTCAAAGTCTCGAATCGTTATGGTTCAGTAGTGTTTCTTCAATTTGGCTCTCGTCCTGTCCTCCTTGTTTCATCACCTTCAGCAGCGGAAGAATGTTTTACTAAAAATGATATCATCTTTGCCAATCGTCCTGATTTTCTTAGTGGTAAGCATTTCGGGTACAATTTTACTAGCCTTGCTTGGTCTTCCTATGGAGAGCACTGGAGAAATCTTCGAAGAATTTCCTCTCTTGAAGTTTTATCTTCCTATAGAATCCAGACACTATCTAGCATCCGTTCTGATGAAATAAACTACCTGATTCGTAGACTCTTTAGAGTCTCCATAGAGAGTTCGGAAAAAATTGTGGAGATGAAATCATCTCTTTTTAACTTCACGTTCAATGTGCTATCGAGAATGATTGCAGGGAAAAGGTACTATGGAGAGAAAGTAGAGAACTCGAAAGAAGCTAAGCTATTCCAGGATATATCAAAGGCTACAATAATAACAATTCCAAAGGCTAATATTTTGGATTTCTTGCCATTTATGAGGTGGTTTGGTTTGCATGATGTTGAGGAGAAGATGATGGAACTACAGAAGAAGAGAGATAACTTTATGCAAAAGGAAATAGACGAGCATCGTCGATTAAAGACCAATGGTTCTTTTCCTTCAGCAGAGGTTGTGGCAGGGAAGAAGAAAACTATCATGGAAGTCTTGTTAGATTTACAGAAAACAGACCCCGAGTACTACACAGATGAAACAATTAGAAGCCTAATGTTGGTAAGACTATCAGACATGATCTATATGTTTTTGTTTTTATTTTTGTACATGAAGATACACTCTGAAGATTATTTTTATTGTTTTCTTTGCTTGTGTTATCTTGAGTTTATACTATGTTAGGCTTCAGATTGAACTGGACACAAATTGGTATATTGTTAGTGTTTCTTAATAAAAAGACATGCTTAGATGAATCTAAATGTTCTGTACTAAGATTGATATATACTCCCTTTTGTTTCAATTTGTTTGTAATACTTTTCTTTTTAGTTTGTTTCGAAAAAGAATGTTTATTTCCTGATTTGACAACAGTTTAATTCCAACATACCATTATTTCCTGTTTGACAACAGTTTAATTCCAACATACCACATTTAAGACTACAAGATTCAAAAGTTTTTTTTTCTTTCTTTAACTCTGTGTCAAGTCAAACTAAGACAAACAAATTAAAATGGAGGGAGTACATAGTATAGGCAGGTGACATTGACTTTTTTAATTCTACTTATATATTCCCTACCCTACCCTGGATCTAGATCTTGAAATGAAAGCTACCTTGGAACTTTCAAAATCATTGACCCTATTGTCTTTGCTTCTGTCTATATCTACTGTTCCTTCAATTGTTGTTGACTAGTTTATACACTCTGTTTTCTTATGTATGCAGGTCCTACTCCAAGCTGGATCAGATACTTCAGCTGTAACACTAGAATGGGCTTTTTCACACTTGCTTGACAATCCAGAAATCTTAAAGACAGCGCAGACAGAAATTGACAATCAGGTTGGACAAGATCGCCTAATTGATGAATCCGATTTGGCTCAACTTCCATACATCCGATGCATCATCAATGAGACATTGCGGATGCATCCAGCAGCCCCTTTACTTGTGCCTCACCTTTCATCAGAAGAGTGCAAGGTTGCAGGCTATCGAGTTCCGCGTGGAACAGTCCTATTAGTGAATGCATGGGGGATACATCATGACCCTAAGGTATGGGAGGAGCCACAAAAGTTCAATCCTGGTAGATTTTTAGGCTTTGAAGGTGTCAAAGAGGGCTGCAAGTTTATTCCATTTGGATCAGGAAGGAGGGGTTGCCCTGGTGAGAACCTAGCAATTCATGTCATTGGATTGGCACTAGGCTCACTTCTTCAATGCTTTGAGTGGGATAAGCCCAATAGGGAGATCATCGATATGAGTGAAGGCACTGGATTCACACTTTCACCAAAGGTTCAGCCGCTATTAGCAAAATGTTCTCCACGACTACACATGGTTAAACTTCTTTCTGAAATCTAATCCTAACCAAGATTCTAATAATGTACGCCATTACTTCCACATGAATAACTAAGCAATTTTAAGATCCAATTTTCTTATTCTATCATTCAGCGATGAAACCTTATAATATTGAGTACAAAAAACAAAGAGGAATTGTGAGGGAAGAAGAGCAAATCATTTTTTGAAGCAAGAATATAACAAAGCATAAGGAATACCTCATAGCATAAGTTCCATAATGGTAACTATAGTACTGCAGAGGATTCAGTTGTTAATAGAGCATATTGATTCTTGGAGCTGGCATTATCACCTTAGCTTCCATCAAACAGATAGTATGCATGTTTAACACTCACAACTAGTATCAGATTATCAATAATAGCAAAGCTTCTCTAATATCAAAGGCCCATTATTAGAAGGCAATCCGTGACTGTAAAGTTGAATAGTCATTAGTGTAGAGAGTTCGAACTAATATGGCCACATAACTAAATTTTATTATCTCAGAAAGTCATTTTCTTTATTGAAAAACATTGGAATAATCAAGAAGAGATGTGACTTTATGAGATAATAATAATTAGTTGAGTGATTATGTGGGAAATCAACTCTCTAAATACAATAGTAACCAAATGGAAAATAGCAATTTATAGTGCATCTTGGAGCACAATTACCAAAAGCTTCTTTTACACGGTTAACAGGAAAGCAATTCAAATTTGAAGTCACGAATTGAATATCACTTTGGGTCGCTTCCCAATGTCAATAACTGATGATTACACAATTCGAACAATTTAACAAAATTAGAGTTATAACTTCTTCAGCACTATACTGCCCCCTTAGAAATTAGAGTCATGACATAATAATTAGAGTTATAGCTTCTTCAGTACTATACCATCCCCTTAGAAATATGCAGAGAAATTACAAAGTATAATCAATATCTTAGGGTGAAATTAACGAAAACCAAAATTAAGCTGAGCAAAGGTAAACCCCAGGCGTTTCCGCAAGAATTTCAAATAAAATTCATTGAACTTCACCAACATAACTCATAAGACTCATAAATTCATTGAGGTCAAGAAGGTATAAGCACTCGAACACACATATATGGAGAGAATCTGAAAATGAAGATGTATAATGCAAGTGAAATTGAACTTACTTTGATCAGAATGTGAAGGCCTTGTTCATACTCCTATTGTTGGATTTGGCGATTGAGCAAAAGGAAGAAAATTGTGCTTCTGAGTTCCGATTCATTGTCGACCTATTCAATTTTCCATATCTCTTCCGTTTAGCTATTGTTGTTTGAAAATTAGAGTTTTAAGATGATGTTGCAACATTTTGGATCTATTGTTTTATGGGTATCAATAATGGAAAAAATTACCTAACTAAGCAAACATGCTACTATAACTATTTAACCACAGGGTATCACTTTCATAAACTATTCAGTTCTGATTTTGGTTTAATTTTACTTGGGGACAATATTTACATGTCTAGAAATAATGATTGATATGTATCTGTGTATAGATACACTTAATACATCAGTGCATATTTGATATTGGTTTATTTGATGAATGTATAAGTGCATATTTGATACCAGATACGCATATCTAAGCACGGATACATCAATGTATATTTGATACTTGATACATGAAATTGGATGAAACTGATAAAGGATACACCGGATAAAATTGATATTGGATACACTGATGATATTGATATTGAATACATATACGCTGAATATATCAATGCATATTTGATACTGGACAAATGAACCTAATTAGAGTACATCCAGAAAAATTGCATCTTGTCATTTGTCATCAATCATCAATTGCCTAAATAAATTATAAGGTCCTGTTTATTGGATATTTACTTGTTAGTATTTAATTCCTTCCTGTTTGTTTACAAGGATAAATTTTCTATAAATAATAAATTTCTACAACTAACCTACATTATTAGGGATTCAACAAATACCTAGCCTACAAAGATTGATCAATTTAGATTACAAAACCAAGATTTGATGACACTCATTTATTGTTGTCTAAGCTGCAAAGATCTTAATACAAGCTAATAAAACTAGATAATTATCAGAAATAATACTACAATTCTGGTCATCCATGGACAATCTTTATCTGTATTTCCCAGTTCTGTTCCTTGTTCATTATATCATCAGCCGCCATTTTCTTAACAAGTTACAAAACCTTCCACCTAGCCCATTTCCAACACTCCCTTTTATTGGCCATCTCTACTTATTGAGTAAACCTTTCCATAGGGCTTTATTCAAAGTCTCGAATCGTTATGGTTCAGTAGTGTTTCTTCAATTTGGCTCTCGGCCTGTCCTCCTTGTTTCATCACCTTTAGTAGCAGAAGACTGTTTTACTAAAAATGATATCATCTTTGCCAATCGTCCTGATTTTCTCAGTGGTAAGTATTTCGGGTACAATTTTACTAGCCTCGCTTGGTCTTCTTATGGAGAGCACTGGAGAAATCTTCGAAGAATTTCCACTCTTGAAGTTTTATCTTCCTATAGAATTCAGACACTATCAAGCATCCGTTCTGATAAAATAAACTACCTGATTCGTAGACTCTTTAGAGTCTCCATAGAGAATTTGGAAAAAATTGTGGAGATGAAATCATCTCTTTTTAACTTCACGTTCAACGTGATATCGAGAATGATTGCAGGGAAAAGATACTATGGAGAGAACTCAAAAGAAGCTATGCTATTCCAGGATATATCAAAGGAAACAATAAACACTACTCCAAAGGCTAATATTTTGGATTTCTTGCCATTTATGAGGTGGTTTGGATTGCATAGTGTTGAGGAAAAGATGATGGAACTACAGAAGAAGAGAGATAACTTTATGCGAAAGGAAATAGACGAGCATCGTCGATTAAAGACCAGTGGTTCTTTTCCTTCAGCAGAGGTTGTGGCAGGGAAGAAGAAAACTATCATGGAAGTCTTGTTAGATTTACAGAAAACAGACCCCGAATACTACACAGATGAAACAATTAGAAACCTACTGCTGGTAAGACTATCAGACATCTATATTTTTTCTTTTTGTACATGAAGATTATCTTCATTGTTTTCTTTGCTTGTGTTATCTTGAGTTAATACTATGTTAAGCTTCAGATGGAACTTGATACAAATTGGTATTCTGCTGGGGTTTCTTGATAAAAAGACATGATTAGATGAGTCTAAATGCTTCCGTACCAAGATTGATTTATACTCCCTTTTGTTTCAATTTGTTTGTATTACTTCTCTTTTTTGTTTAAAAAAGAGTGTCTTTTTCCTAATTTGACAGCTCTTAAATTTCAACATACCACATGACATGTTTAGACACAAGATTCAAAAGTCTTCTTTACTTTCTTTCACTTTCTGTCAAGTCAAACTAGTACAAATAAATTGAACGGGACGGTGAAACAAACTCGATTCCAACAGAAACACAGTTATATATATTAATCACTGAATACAAGTTACAATGTAGGATAGGCACAACAAAATAATAATACACTAACTAAGGAGAGATTAACCGAGAAAGAAGTAACCAGAAAGGGATGAGATACAAGACCATAGAAAGGAAATGAGAGGATAGAAAGCCAGAGCTTGACATAATAATTTTCCATAACCGTTCTTCTAATTCCTAGTCCTTTTTAACAAAGTGTAAATGGGTCTGGATCCCAAATAAAACTCTCTAATAGCCCGTAGGCCCTTATGGGGTCAGTTTGGTTCACAACAGACGGAGTACATAGTATAGGCAGGTGATATTGACTATTATAATTCTACTTACATATGCCTTACCCTACCCTGGATATAGATCTTGAAATGAAAGCTATATTTGAACTACCAAAACCATTGACCCTACAGAGTGTCTTTGCTTCTGTCTATATCTACTGTTCCTTTAAATGTTGTTAACTAGTTTATACATTCTGTTTTCTTATGCATGCAGATCCTACTCCAAGCTGGATCAGATATTTCAGCAGTAACACTAGAATGGGCTTTTTCACGCTTGCTTGACAATCGAGAAATTTTAAAGACGGCACAGACTGAAATTGACAATCAGGTTGGACAAGACCGGATGAATCCAATTTGGCTCAACTTCCTTACATCAGATGCATCATCGATGAGACATTGCGGATGCATCCAGCAGCCCCTTTACTTGTGCCTCACCTTTCATCAGAAGAGTGCAAAGTTGCAGGATATCGAGTTCCGCGTGGAACAATCCTATTAGTGAATGCATGGGGGATACATCATGACTCTAAGGTATTGGAGGATCCAGAAAAGTTCAATCCTGATAGATTTATAGGCTTTGACAGTGTCAAAGAGGGCTGCAAGTTTATTCCGTTTGGATCAGGAAGGAGGGGTTGCCCTGGTGAGAACCTAGCAATTCATGTCATTGGATTGGCACTAGGCTCACTTCTTCAATGTTTTGAGTGGGATAAGCCCAATAGTGAGATCATTGATATGAGCGAAGGCACTGGATTCACAATTTCACCAAAGGTTCAGCCGCTATTAGCAAAATGTTCTCCACGACCACACATGGTTAAACTTCTTTCTGAAATATGAGATTCTAATAATGTACGCCATCATAATTCCACATGAATAACTATGCATTTTTCAGATCCAATTTTCTTATTCTATCATTTAGCAACAAAACCTTATAATAACAATTACGAAAAACAAAAAGGAATCGTGCAGGTAAGAAGAGGTGCAAATCATTTTTTGAAGCAAGATATAGCAAAGCATAAGGAACACCATACAACATAAGTTCCATGATAGTAACTATAGTACTGCAGAGGATTCAGTTGTTAACAAAGCATATTGATTCTTAGAGCTGGCATTATCACCCGAACTTTCATCAAACAGATAGTATGCATGTATAACACTAACCAACTAGCATCAGATTATCAATAATAGCAAAGCGTCTCTAATATCATAGGGCAATCCGCGACTGAAACTTTGAATAGTCGATTCTAGTTTAGCGAGTTCGATTTCTGGTGTGGTCGCTCAACTAATACTTATTATCTCATTTCAAATAAAATTCATCAACATAACTCATAAGAATCACAAATTCATTGAGGTCTAGAACGTATAAACAGTTGAACACACGCATATATGGACAGAATCCGAAAACGAAGATGTATAATGCAAGTGAAATTGAACTTACATTGATCAGAAAGTTCATATTACTACTGCTGGATATGGCGATTGGGCAAAACGAAGAGATATTCGACGCCGACGGGAGGTTTGCCGTTTGTGCTTCTGAGTTGCAACATTTTGGGCAACTCTAAATTTGATCATTTGCATTAATTGCTTCTTTTTAAGTTTTGGATAAAAAATATATTCCCAGTTATAATGTTTTTATGGGTTCAACAATTGACTCTTAATACTATATCAATATGATTTCATGAATAATTGTTGTTGAAGTAGTCGGTCTAGCTATAAATTCTACAATGCATAGAATATTGTTCCTAAGCAAAAAAATTCGTACACAGAGATATTTGAGACTTTTTAAGTAAAATCAATTCTCTCGAAAGAAGGAAAATTTGCACAAATTACCTCTTTTGATGCCAAACTTTCTTTTTTTTTTTAATTTCTTTTACTTTACTAATTGAATTTCAACTTTTCGATTAATTGAAGACATAATCTAAAGTGCGGCCTTAGTAAAAAGTGTGATAGAAATATGAAAAATAAATCCATGAAAACTAACCATTTTGTATAACTCATACAATTCAAATTGAAAAGAGTTTTCATTCAAGAAATCTCATTCAATAACAAAATAAAAACTTTAGCTAACTTATAAACCATGTTGTTTATATATATATATATAATCGTCTACTAATAGATCTAGGCTTGCATTAGATTATCAAAAATATAATTTTCTTTAAAAGATGAGATTGGATAGTGGATAGGATCAAAATTTCATAATGGACAAGGAGAATAACAAAGCCGGGCCAGACATACTAAACAAGTGGTGTGAAAAACTTTGAATGAACTAATGGTGCTGCTTTAAGATGCCACCATTTTAGTTTCATGGTTAAAATAGAACCATCTACTCATCAATCTAGGATAAATTTGTGTGTGGGGGCAAAATAATGTTCCTCATGCTAAAAATGGAATGACCAAGTTAGAAAAAGGTCCAAAAGTTTTGCTCCCTCCCCTCCGTTCCTATTTACACGTCGGTCTTACTAAATATAAATGTTTTTTAATCTTTGTCATTTCACCAAATCAATGCATAAATGACATTATTCTTTCTAATCTACCCTTGAGAGTTACTCCCTCTGTCCATTTTTAGTTGTCATGATTTCCTTTTTTAGAGTCAAACGACAAGAACTTTGACTAACATTTTACTATGTATTTTTTCATCGCATTGATATGCAAAAAAATGCAATTTATACTACTTTTTCGTATAGCTTTTGAAAATCTGAATTTTTGTTTTAAATATCGAATTAATGTAATCTAATTTAACTTTAAAAATTAGTCAAACTGACTTTCGAAAAGCGCAACATGAAAACTAAAAATGGACGGAGGGAGTATTAGCTTAGAAAGTATGAATTTGACCAACATAGAAAAGCTAAATAATTTATTCATATTCATTGGTCAAACTAATTAATCAAAATAAATTAAGTCATGTTCATTTATTGAAAAAATGACATCAAGAGAACACTAAATAAGGATACATTAATAAATTTACCTAATTTCTTAAAGGGTGTAAAATCTAAAATAATGACATTTAAATAGGAACGGATGGAGTAATGTCACTTCTGTATCTTATACTGGTGGCATTTGATATAGCAAGAATTGGTACTTTAGTACTATATTTACTTTTGTTACTAGTAATTAGTTTGATATGCTTTGTTTGAGTGGATGATCTATCGAAAATAATCTCCTATATCATAAGGTAGGAATAAAATAAGTAGAGGTGGACTCAGATATGAAGACAGTGAGTGCACCACTAAAGACATATGAACTAGTCAAAGTGACGTCCCGCCATTTTATTAAAAAGGAAAAAATATATATTTAATGAGAATTAATTCATAAACCTTTAGGTAAATAACTCAATCTTCAATCAAATGCATCATTTGTTCTTCTTAAAGTATGAGTGTCAACATATAATATTATATCAATTTTAAAAAAAAAAAATACATATACGTAAAATACCTAATTTTACAAAGAGATCACACATTCATATACTCCATATTTTTACCTTTAACTTAGTTTATACTTTATATAGGTGCACATTACTCTCCCCGATACTTCTTCGGAAAGTGAGATGACTAGTTAGTTGATGGGTTGATGCTCTAGAAAACAAAAACAGGAATATTTGAACAGAATAAGTATAATGCCTTCTTGCTTTCGTTTTAGAAAAGAAAAAAAAAACTTTAGAAGACCAAAGAACTTCATTTTGATAAGATTTGAGTATAAAATATAAAATTCTGTTATGATATGTCCCTCATACTTTTAGTGCATTTCATACGTTTTCTTTTTTTTCCCCTAAACGACGTAATTCTTTGCCTAATGAATTACGCAATTCGATTGTGTCCATCTTATATTTCCAAAAGTCTATAAATTAAGATCCACTTTCATGATTTTTTTTTTAATTCATACCTAATATGTTTATGTCAAATTATTTAAAAAAAATAGAGGATATGTAGAGAAAATTACGTGTATAAGCAAATATATACTAGTTAATTAGTTAACATAACTATAGTTTGCCTTAATTACAATTCGCGATATACTTTTAGCTATAATTATGCGGCTCAGTTTTTTAGTTTTGTATAATTCACACGTTTGTATAATTCAAAATTTTTATAATATAATTTGTATAACTTTTGTATAATATAACTGTTCACACTTCTGATGTTTGTAATTGTATAAATTTGTTACTTCGAGTTTATACAAAAATAACTGAATTATATAAATGTACCCGTGAATTATATAGACCTGCGAATTATACAAATGAGACAGCTTCAACTGTAGCTACAACCCGTAAATATGCAAACTATAGCTATGGAACATAATTAAGTTTATTATAATGGCTATTTGTGAAAGTTTCCCTATGTAGAGAATGGTTAGCATAGAGGATTAAAAATCCTTGTGTTTGTGATTCAATCTTGAGCAAGCCGAGTAAGAGTTGTATTCAGGATTTTGAAAGGATGTATGCACTATTACGAAAAGATGCAAATTTGATTAGTTTGACCTTTACGTTCTTAATATAAACCGTTAAATTTTTAAAAATATAGGTCTAGAATATATAATACTACTAATTTAAAAAAAATATATATACACATTTGATTTAATTATGTAAATCTTTTAGGAATTTTTTATGTAACACACTTGAACTTTTAAAGACTAAAGCAAAAAAATAAAAGAAAAATAGTTGAAACGCCCAAAAGTGTTATCGATAACCACTTGAAAATGTGTTGCTCAAAAAAATAATATAATATAAGATTTAAATTAAATTTATATCCTCAATTAATCGAATTGCTCAAAAAAATAATATAATATAAGATTTAAATTAAATTTATATCCTCAATTAATCGAATTGCTCAAAAAAATAATATAATATAAGATTTAAATTAAATTTATATCCTCAATTAATCGAATTGCTCAAAAAAATAATATAATATAAGATTTAAATTAAATTTATATCCTCAATTAATCGAATTGCTCAAAAAAATAATATAATATAAGATTTAAATTAAATTTATATCCTCAATTAATTGAGAACGAGACAGATTTAGAAAAAAATTATTATAAGCGTGATTTTAAAAGCTAAAATTATACATTAATTAGTCACGGCAAAAGAGGGTAATTTTGTATATAAACGCATGCATTAATATTATAACCATTGTGCAAATAATAAATATTACCAAAAAAATACACAATTCACGTATAATATTTATCCACTTTAATTAGGTCACAAAAAATAAAGCATGCGATATTCTTCTCTGTTCTTCTAAATTAATTGTTCTTTTATTATTTTATACGAAGTTATTAATAGAAAAAACAAAATAATGTGTCTATTTCTTTGTACTAAAGATGAATCCACTTCGAAAAAAGGATTTCAACAAATTATTGATTGCATTAAAGATACTTCTAATGCTTTAATAAATAAAACTTGTAACTAACATGGATTGTGATGACGAGTAGGATTCCTTCATCCTTAATTAGATGTTTCGATTTCAAGCCTATATTATAAATTATAATAATGAAATTATTTTGTTAGGGGCGTCACAATAATCTCAAAAATAAATCTTATAACATGTAAATTTAAATTTAATCAAACTTCAAAATAAGCATCGAATAAAAAAAATGTGACCACAATATGCCTTTGCTCCAAGCATCTAAGTAAGTTCGTGCAATTCGTTTGTTTTAAGCATTAAAAAAGAAAACTTTACACAGTGATGATATGACACAGCAAAATTGAATTATTTTTCGAAAAGAGAACTTTTGGGAAAGAAAAATAAAAGCGACAAATTTCTTTATATTTTTAACTTTTGTTCTTTTTTCCACCTTTTGCCTAATTAAGCACTAATTGATTATCATGTACCTATCAAGTAAAGAGTAGCGTAATATAAGAAAATTATATTTTTAAAAAAGTATTCACTCTGTCTCAATTTATGTAATACTTTTCGTTTTTTTGAGAGTCAAACAGTTTAAGTTTGACTGAGAATTTGCGCATGAAATATTCAAATTCTTTGAAATGAAATTTATATATTTATAAACTATGTAAAAAGTACTATAAGACACAATAATTGACAATTAAAACTATTTAAAAGATATATGAAAAATTTACGATCAAAGATAGACTTATTTAAATTTTGAAATCCAAAAAAGTGCTACATAAATTGAGACAGATGGAGTACTACTTTCTGTATTTCATTTTACGTGGCATATTTTTTGGAGCAAGTCATATAAAGAAATAAAGTTCCACATTTCTAAGTAGGCGTCTAGCCATGCGATACCATATCACGATATGGTGTCGTGAGATGGAATCAGCGTTTGGACATGCGATTTTACGCTGATTCCATCTCATGATTCCATATCATGAGAGGTGATACCATATTCTCCAAAAATATTTTAATACAATAATTGATCCATGAGTTTATATTTTGTTAAAAACAACCCCACATTTATATCTACTAACCATTTGTTTCATATATAAATAAAATTTATAATCACATCATTACTTTTTAAAATTTATTATTCTCACCAATATAAAATTTATTATTACTTTAAATTTGGTGAATATAAATGATAAAGTAGAAATTCATTTGGTGAATATAAATAAGAACGAAGGGAGTAATACTTTTTTGATTTTTCATAATAAAAAAAAACGT